ATGGTGGTATCTGAATGCTTCGGCAAAATAGAGGTTTTGTGGTAATTGGTAAATTAAGAGAAAAATTTAGTCATTACTGTCCAAATCTATAATGATGCTATTAGGTCTGTTACTTCACCTGAAGTTAATCCATTGGGTAGAACTCTCTCAGGACTCACCGCCTATTGGCTGTGAAATACCTTTTAAAATAGTATCTTTTTTTTTTTTAAAGATTTTATTTATTTATTTGACAGAGAAAGCGAGAGCTAGAACACAAGCAGGGGAGTGGGAGAGGGAGAAGCAGGCTTCCCACTGAGCAGGGAGCCCGATGCAGGGCTCGATCCCAGGACCCTGGGATCATGACCTGAGCCGAAGGCAGACGCCTAATGACTGAGCCACCCAGGCGCCCCTTTAAAAGAGTATCTTTAAAAGCCTACACTTTCTCATAGTTCTCTTACCAGCTTTGCTCCCTTCCAAATGGCAGACGGGGGGGAATTTTCACCTTGCCATTAGGGCAGATACCATGAGAGCTGCTACAGTACCTTGAGGCAGTCAAGGGCATGCAGGATTTTCTCTGCCTAGTCTATGCCATGAAGATCTAATTGAACTGAAAAGGGACTTTAAGCTGAAATTCTTGCTGTTTCTTCCACAGTAAATCCTCAACATTAGCAAAAGTCCCCACATTTGCAAATATCATTCTAAGATATTGCTTCTTGCACCAAACGAAGTAAATCATAACTAAAAAATTAAGTGACCCCTTCAAATGTTTAATGACTCTATAAACAAAGTACTAAGGTCTTTCAACATTCTAATTAAAATACATTGTTCTTGAGCCATATTTCTGTTGAGAATCATGTGTTTCCTGGGCAAATCTTCACATCAAAGATCAATGACTTCTCAAATTTATTCAAGTTTTATCTTTTTGTTTATCAGCAACTCTGGCATAAAAGCAAGAGTATACCTTACGCAGTTTTAAGAATCACTCTTACTTCTGACAACAATCTAGAGTGGGCTATTGCATCACAGATGAGTGTCTCCAACAAATCCAACGTGCTGCTGTCTTCTGAAATGTCCACTCTCTGAGTAAGACCAGTCAGTCTTAAACGCCTCTACTTCCTTCACCTGTTCTAATGGGTGGTTCTCTTTTCTGGGCCACTGAACACTAAGAAAAGTAACAAGAGTCACCATGTGACTTCAAGCAGAGAATTTAGAAGCTGTGTTCAGATGGCCAAGTTCAACTGCATCCCAGCTACCTCCGGCTTCATGCCCATCCTTCAGGGAGTGGGCTTCAAATTCTTACCTCAGAAAAATTACATGTGACTACATGTTTTGGACCTTCAGGGCTCCCTGGGAACATTAAATTCATTGGCCCTGGAGTTCTTCTGAATTTATGTTTTTTGCTTTTGAAGTTCCAGTGTTAATATATACTTGTTTTAATGATTTCAGGTTAGTATGTTGGTCTTATACACATTTACCTGAATGCTCATTTGATCTCAGTACATTTGGATTAAACTATTTTTCTTCCTATAGAAATATACTTTCTCTGTGCATTAGGAGGCTGGATACTGCTGCTTTTTACAGACAACTTGGTGATTCACCACCACCTAACACAGTGTCTGGCAAACAGAGGAGACACAAGATCAGTGTCATTAATGACTGTCTTTCATAGTAGTTTAGAAATATTGAGATGATCTGATACATATTCAGGCCATATGTCCCAAATCTCAAGCCCCAATTCTGAATTCTAAATTACCAAGGAACCCCCTACTCAAACCACCAACAGGTCTTGAGGAAACAATCTTTAGTGTCCTCCACTCCGTGTCTGAGTCAGGGATAAAATTATTAACCAAATAGCTTTAGACCTCTGATTTATAGAGCCAAATGAACATGGTTAACTAATAAACACATATAATAATATGTGCAATAATATGTGTGATTTAATAAGCATAATGATTCAGTTGAATGAGTGGGTTAGCATGGATTTTTGTTGTTGCAAGTAATAGAAACTCAACAAACTAGCTTAAGTTAAAAAAGATGGAGGAGAAGGGTAGGTACCTAGGAGTTCTCATAACTGAGAGGACCTCAGTCTTCTGAAGATTCTGTCTTCCCATCTCTTGTTTCTCAGTGTCTCTGCTCATCTTCCTCCCTTGCTTCTCCTGTGGACAAGCTCTTTCCACACACAGAGCACCTCCACCTTGGCAGCCCCAGAAAAGGGAGAACACCTTTTTCTCTCCCACGACAGTCCCAGGGAAGGACTCCAAATGGTCCTGCTTGGGTCACATGCCCATTCCTTGAATCAAACAGTTGCCAACAGGAAAAGATACTGTGATTGGCCAGCCCTGGGTCATGTGATTACTCATTTCACCCTATTTCCAGAAGTGTCGTGGGAAACTCTGGAATGCAGAAAAAGATTTTTCCATGGCCCATTACACTAAACTCTCCAACAAAAGTAATCTTGGTAATAATGTGGGAAGATCAGCTATCCTGTGATTTAATATCTGTGAATGCGTATACTGCATCAAGCACTATTCTAAGTAGAAACAGACATATGCAAGGGTTGAAAAACTCTCCCCCTGCATGCAAAATTTGTCTAAAATATCAGTGTAAAAAATATGTCACTCAACAATCAAATCCCATTGTCTGTGAACCCCATCAGTAGCAATTTCAGCTTTTGGCTTATAGAATTGAAGCTGAAGATTAACCAGATGATCTCTAAAGTCTCTTCTAGTCTCTGAGTCTATGAACTCTTTGTTAGAATCAAAATACCTCTGGAAGAATAATATACCACGCTATTACTTTATTGGACAGTGTTATAAGCTAAACTGTATCTTCCCCAAATTCATATGTTGAAGCTCTAATCTTTAGTACCTCAGAATATAATCTTATTTGGAGATAGAGTCTTTAAAGATTAAAATTAAATCAGGTCATTTGGGTGGGCTCTAATCCAATGTGGCTGGTGTTTTTATAGGAAGAGGAGATTAGGACAAAGGTACACATAGAGAAAAGACCATGTGAGGACCCAGGGAGAACGCGGACAACTACAAGCCAAGGAGAGCCTCAGAAAAATCCACCCGTGCCAAGGCCTTCATCTTGGACTTCTAGCCTCTTGAACTGTGAGAAAATAAATTTCTGTTGTTTAAGCTGCCCAATCTGTAGCACTTTGTTATTAGCAAATAATACACACAATAAACCAAGAATTTCAAAGAGGACTGAGGCACGGTGGAGACAAATTTGATACATGGGATGGGGGAGCCAGGAGGTTCTTTTAAGAAGTAGAACTCCCCCTAAGACTCAGGGGCCAGGACTAGCGACATTGTTAACTGAGGTGTGCTGATAAAGACGTGATAAAAGAGGTAAGAAGTTAAGAGAAGGAAGGAGAGAGAAGTGCATGGCACACTTCACCCTTTTTGAAATTTTGCCAGGGCTAGGCATAGAGTGATTATATCAGGACATGAAACTATGGTTGGCCAAGCCAAAGGCCACATACCCAACCTTGTGGGCCTGTAGGGAGCCAGATTCCTACATGACTTCAGGCTGCCTTGGGCTCCTAATGTGTGTCCCCACTGAGAACTCTGAAGCTCTGAGCATCCCGCCCTGACAGGCTTTGAGAGCCAAATGCCTATCCACCTGAATCAAAGGCTCCCCAGCATGAGCTCTTAGCCATCATCACTCTCATTTATGATGCTCACTGTCAGAGCTTCCTGCTGAGCCAACCCTAAGTTTGTTAGGCCCGCCTTTCACATATGATAGGCCAGGTCCAGAAGTCCAAACCAGGGTGAATCTGAACCTTCTGATTATAGTATTCTTACCCTACCAGTCCTCTACCTCCCCTGCCCCATACCTCATCACTCTCCTGCTAGAAACTCATCCCCCCATATCAAAACAGGAAAGCCGGCTCCTGGCCTCCTTCCTAGGCCTTCACCCACCCTGATGGATTTGCCTGGATCCTGTACCTGCATTACCCTGGCTCATTTATCATTTTGCTACTCTTGCCTTAGCTCTGACCTTTGCCCTCTAGCAAATCACCCAGGCACTGGGTGGTACTTAGAACCGGAACTCAAGACCCACCCCCCTGTGCTGCCGGGGTCGGTCATATTAAAATTCCACCACAAAGCACAATGCACATTTGGAAAAATACATCCCTTCTTCAGAAACAGCCAACACAGCATACCCGTTACACAAAAACCTGACACCAAAGGGAAAATATTTTTGTTAAACAGACTGATTGCTAAATGAACAGGGTTTGTGAAAATCACATCTATTATATAGGACTTTTCAGTTCATAAGCCTCATAATATCAGATCATCATATTGGCAAGGCAGTGCTTGTAGGGCTGTTAGGATGAAATCTGGAAATCGCTTCATTATTGAATATTACAAATGATATTTGCCAACAGGGAATTTCCCTTGTGTGTGCCTTCAGATAAAATTTCTGGCCACCATTGTTTATAACCCAAATATATTAATATCGCCATATAACAAATTCCAAAGAAGACAAATGAAATATTTAAATAACCCAAGCATTGTGGACCCATTGAATACTGCATTTTACCTTTATGTTCTTCTTTTTTTTTTTTATCACCCACAGACATTAAAAAAAAAAAAAAAGCCTGATAACGTCAAAAGATGAGAAAGACTAAATTCAGGGAAATAAAGGAACCATAAATCAAGAAAACTTTGGAGCTGCTAGAAAGACACTTTAATTTTGTAGACAAAAGACTGCATTAAGGAGGAATAATGCAATAATCAAAGGTGAACGAATCTCTATTGTCTGGCGTCTTTCTCTGTGGGAATTTTCCCACCCCTGACAGCTGTAAAGGGGGGAGGAGCGCAGACTGTGGCTGCGCCTTTATTCTCTCCCCCGCTTGCTCCCCAGCCCCTCCTCTCCTCCGTCAATAAATGTCTGCAATCATATTCTTGAGCTCCTGTGTGATTTCAAGGTTCATCTCTTCCATGCAGCTCAAACACTAATTATCCCAGCTGTAATTAGTAAGATAATTAAATACTGGCTCACTCATCTACCTTGGGTCGGGTCATGATTCTCCCAGAAGACCTTGAGCAGTTCCTCAAAGCTGATGCGTTCTGGCTGGTATACCACTCGGACTACTTCTGCGTGGCCGGTTTTTCCTTGAAAGAAACAGAACGTACAACAAAAATTTACTGACACCACCAATTTACTACAAGTGATCTGTTTCCAAAGAACCACCAGACAAGGGCTAACATCCTTCCCTCCGCAGGAAGGGTGGGAGTCTAACTGTACATTAGCTAACGATCTCATAGCAAGTCTGTCGCTGGCTCTGTCCCCATAAAAGCATACAGTTGTCCTCTGGCAAGCTTCCTGAGGATGATGACTTCTCGTCATTGTGCTCTAATTTTCTTCTTGAATTTCAGGAGAAAACAAACTCGGGTTTTCTTTCTTTTTTTTTTGATCTCACCCTTATGAAACCTTATGGATCCAATCTGACATAGCGCTCAAGGTTTGAAACTCGGCGAGGGGAACGAGCCAATTTATTTGTATCATCACTTCCTGCTATATGCAGTAGGCGCAGCTGCACCATGGGGTGACATGGTGCCAGAGCAGGAAACCTGTAACAAACAGGCTTATATCTCGTCCACATCAGATCAATTCGTTAACGGAGGCACATATTCGCTGGGCCATTAACACAGGGGCAAGGGGTCGGGTTCACATAGCCAGCAGGGTGGCAAGTATTTTCTCAGCCTAATTCATCTCTGTGGTAAACAACGACCGCAGCGATGGTCTCTCCGTTAGCATGCCCATTCTCACAGGTGGTCCCCGAGGTTCTGGAGATCAGGGAAGTGGGTGTTTGTAGTAGCCCTTGTACCTACAGAATTCATGCCCTTCCTTATTTTACAGTGTTAGAATATAGTAAATAATAGAACCCTCCATACATATCATCTCTCTATTTAAATTTGTTTTCCATCTCTTTCCGGTCACCTTATGTGTGATAAAGAATTTAGCTTTCCCCAAAGAGATATCTGGCCTTTCTCTGCCTTGGTCTCTGGAAGGTAATCTGTGTCATACCTTATAGGAATGTCCTTCTTTAAGGCGGGGCCGGCCACAGCAACAGTCTTAGGGTGGAAGCTGGCCCCTTGGAATCTTAGGGTCCAGATGGCCACACCCAACAGTGTTAGGATCAGGGCCGGCTATGCCAGACAGACCAACCATGTGCTTAGACTGGGGGCTTTGGGTAATACAGAATCAGCTGACCTGAAGACTGAGTTCAACCAGGTGGGCAATCCCATCAATCATGCCTATGTAATGAAGCCCCAATAATAACTCTGAACATCAAAGCATGGGGGAGTTTCCTGGTTGACAATACTCTTTGCGTGTTGTCACAGATGGATGCCAGGAGGGTAACACATCCTGACTGCATGGGAGACAACACAGGAACTTGGCACTGGAACCCTTCCAAAGTCTGCCCTATGTGTCTCTCCATTTGGCTGATTTTGATTTGTATCCTCTCCCTGTAATAAACTGTACCTCTGAGGATAACTGTTCTCAATGAGTTCTGTGACTCCTAAATGATCAGACCTCACAGTAGTTTGGGAATCCCTTGAACTTCACCTTAGTTTGCAATAGCATTTGCCCATAGGTTAGTGATCTCACTTTAATTCTCACAATGATTTTACTGATTGGAAAACTGAGATACTTAGAAGTTACACTTGCCCAAGGTCCAATGGAGCTAGTGAATTTCTGAACCATAACCTAGAAACCTTCTGGGTTTTTTTGTCCAGGATTCTGTCCAATAAACAAAGCAAAGAAAGCAAAGTGAACATGAATCCAGAAAAGAAAAAAAAAATCTATTCATTATCTTTCATCTTCTTTTAATATTTAATTTCTGATTGTAGAAATAATTTGCAAACAATATGAAGCTTAGAAAATGTACAGAAGTATAAAAAAGAAAATAAAAATCACATATTATATTCTGACCACATACGGTAAGTACTATCAATATGTTTTACACATCACTTTCTGGATATGTACCAGATACACATGAGTGCACGTGTGTTCATACACACACACACACATACCATGCACAATTTGCTTTATTATAATCATGGCATCATGCTTTTTTTACACTTACCAGCATGTTGTATTTTCCCATATCACTGGAATTTTTAGGAAATGCCACTTGTAATGACTATATAACACTCCAAAGACGGTTGTACTATTATTTAATCATCCCCTGTCATTGGGGTTTTACACTGAATCCTATTTTTATCTATCAGTGTAAATATCTTTCCACATTTCCAAGACTGCCTCAAGCCACAGTTACATAAGTGGGATTTCTAAATCAATGCTTACAAACATTTTTAAGTTACTTGCTATCTAGTGCTTAGCTGCTATTTAGTAAAGTTGACCCAATTTTCTCTCCCCATTGGCAGCATGTTTCAGGGCCAGTCTCAGTCACTATTATAATGTTTTTAACTCTTACCAATTTATAGTGGGACAATAGTGTCCTATCATTTTATTTTCAATGAGTTTAATTATTAGTAAGGTAAAAAAAAAAGTCATGTTTATTAATTTTAATTTATTTGCTCTAAATTTTGTAATACCCTTTTTATATTGGGTTATTCATATTTTAAATGAACTGGTCATTTTATATAATTTTAATTCAAAGACTACAGTCATGGAAGGAAGCAAATAAACAGATTTTATACTCACAGATATGAAAAGAATTATGGGAAAACTATAGGAGGAAGATACACTAAATACAAAAATCATGTTATTGTAAAACCACTTCTGGTCCCACTTTAAAATCTTATTATTTTATATTTTGAAATGCTTGAATGAATGATTTAACAACATAAGAATTAAACTCTCTAAATATTAACAATAGCAACAATATGTAACAAGCATGACAAATGTATTTGGTAAGAAAAGCATAGAAACCACACTAGAAATCTAGGCAAAAGATGTAAACAGGCAGTGCACATAGGAAGAAATAAATGTAAATCAAAATTGAAAAGTGCTCAACATTTCTAATGATAAAAGCAAATAAAGGCATATTGAAACACGAACACACCATCTCTTATTACATTTTGTAAAACCACTTAAAAATGTATCTAGTGCTGATGAGGAGACCATAACACTGGCACCCTTACTTGGCTGCTGACAGCATAAACAACCATGCCCTTTCCAAGAGCCACAAAGATGAAAATTAACTTGCCTTCACTAAGTGACCCAGAAAATCTATCTCAAAGATACAACCCCAAATAATGGAAAAGATATGTATGTGCAAAAAAAAAAAAAAAAATTCACTCCATCGTTACTACAATAGTGGAGTACTATAAGAAATCCAAAAGTCAAATAAAAAAGGAAACCAAGTATGGAATAGCCACATGATGAAGTATCATGTAACCATTAAAATGCAATGTCCTAACCCTAGTGAAAACTGTTACCATTCACTGAAGTCTGACAAAATGGCAACCACTTTACCTACTTGATGTTCTTTAACGCTCACAACAAATTTTTTCCCAACTTTTTTTATTGTGGAAAATACACATAACAAAATGTACCATCTTAACCATCTTTTAAGCATACAGTTCGGTGGCATTAAGTACATTCGCACTGTTGTGCTAGTATCACCACCATCCATCTCCAGAACATTTTCATCTTGCAAAACTGAAACTGTATCCATCAAACACTAAGTCCTCATTTCTCTCCTACCACCAACCCCAGGCAACCACCATTCTACTTCCGTCTCTGTGAATTTGACCACTCTGAGTACCTCATATAAGTGAAATCATACAGTGTTTTTCACTCAGCATAATGTTCTCAGGGTTCACCCATGTTATATCGTGTGTCAGAACTTCCTTCCTTTTTAAGGCTGAGTAATATTCCAGTGTGTGGACAGACCACATTAGGTGCATCCATTCATCTGTCAGTGGACATTTGGGTTGCTTCCACCTTTTGGCTACTGTGAATAATGCTGCTATAAACACGGGCATACAAATATTTCTCACAACCATTTTACAAGAGAAATGCAGCCCCCCTTTTAAAGATGAGGCAGCTAAGTCCTCTCCACAGGTTTTCTCACACAACGTCCCACAACCAGTAAGTAGCGGGATCTAGTGAAGAGTCAACCAGTGAAGATCTCATTCTATGACCACAGTGCAGGCTCCTGGATCGTAGACCCCTGAAGCCAGCAAGTGACAGCAAATGTCACATAGGCAGTGGCCCAGATGAGAAATCACAGCTGTGGGGTAATTGACATCCAGGCTGTCAAAACTATTTTCCCAGATTAGGCTCTTCTTTTGTGGTAGCAATACGGGGTCAGGAAAGATTTCTGCAAACATTTTCAGACATAATCTGGGCACTGACATTATCTGTGGAGAGGTTTAAAGAAGCTTGGTTGTTTAAAAGAAACTACTACCATTAAAATTCAACATCCATCTGCATTGACAAACAGTGGGGAGAAGCCCTCGTCAAACTCACCTTTAAGTTTCTTTATTTTATTTCTCCAAAGTACAAGAGTCTGTGTAAAAATACACAGTGCAAATGATCAAAAGGATTAAGGGGTTAGGAACCACTTACAGAAATGCCCAGGCCTCCAGGAACTCACCAATGTGCTAGGCTAATTTGATTCCCAAGACCAATCTGCAAATACTTTCTGGTGCTTCCAGAGATAAAAGGCTATATCTTAAAAATACTTTGAGCTGTTTCTTCATGTAACATCGTGCAAATAGCATGATAGATGTGATGTGCAAACGTGCTTGTTAACAATGCGCAGCAGCGTTAGAGGTGTTTTAACACTCTTTTAACACTGTTGTTCAAAAAAATCTTGAAAGGAAATGAAAAGGACAAATGTCTTCTCTGAGCATTTCCCAGTGTGGCCTTACCCTGTGACCCCAAAGAAAGTGAGTGGATGCAGAGGGGTAGGTTATGGGCAGTCCATTCCTTGTAAGACAAAATATCCCAGAAGAGATATAAAGGAGTGTCCTGGGGGCTGAAAAATCAGGCATTCTGGAGTCATCTATAGCTTTGTGGTAGCCAAGTCATCCGTGGAACCAGGCGTTTTCAAGAAGAACCCCAAAATAAATTAGCCTATCTTGAAAGTCCTATGTCACAGCTTTCCATCCCAGAGGGAAAATGTTATCTTCAA